TATGAAGATTATGCACATGTGTATGTACATGACTTGTGTAATTGAGAATGATGAATTGTGATGAATAAACATAATTGTAAATGTTTATGTGCAATGAGGTGAATTGTGAATGATATTGACTGAGGAATTAATGAATAAACATGATTGTATATGTTTATATGAATTGTGGTGAATTAAACATAATGTGTATGTTTAGGTGAATTGATTGAAATTGTAGATGTATGTATGAGGAAATATGCTTGGTGATTATCCATATATATTGTATATACATGGTGACATATATGGATGACTTGTGGTGAGAAATGCAGAATGTGTGTATTTTATGCTTGTATATATATAATTATATGCATTGATTATTATGATAATATTTCTCACCCTTCTGCTGGAATGATGTCCTATCTGGCATCGTGCAGGTATCAAGAGTAGAGCTGCTTGTAGTTGCGAAGTCGTTATTGGTGTAGCTGTTTAGTAATTTAGTTATATTGGGTCGAGTCATGCTCTGGTCATGTAACACTGAGATCGTTTGGTTTATGTTTTAGAGATATATTATGTACTCTATGTTATGTTTTTATATTCATTGGAATATTGTGATGTTGGCCTTAGTGCCTAAGAAATGTTGAATTATATGATGAGCATGACAGGTGGTTTTTGATGTTTGAAAGTTATGTGTGATGCCCTTTTGTGAATGCATGATTATTTACTCTGATTATTCATATATTTTCCGTGGGGTTTAGAAGGGTGTTACATTGATGCTCCTAGAATGATGATGGGATCTAGGGGAAAAAATTTGGGGTATGACAATGATGGGATCTAGAGACTCTAAAGTTGTTGTTTATATACCTTAAGTCTATATTATTCAATGCTACTGCATCAGAAGAGGATTTTTCAACCTTAGATTTGTTGGCTTGCCCTATGGGTTTGGATTTATGGTAAGAGGGGGAAAAGTCCCTAGATTTACTGTGATCAAAGCTAAAAGTAGGTAAAGGACCGTATAATGCATGTCGTTTACCAGAAACAATGACATGAATAAGTACCTGAGATTCATAGATTTTTCTCTTTTCTTCTTCAAGCGGCTCCAAATTGAACCGCTGGTTTCCCACGATATTTGACCCTGAAAGTGTGTCAAAGGGAGGAAGCTGAGATATCTTCTTTAGGTCTTTGTATTTTTTTGCCTTTTTTGGAGTCTTTGATGTTGGTGGTTGAAGACGCCATTGTTGAGGGTTGAAGAAAGCTGGGTATTTTTGAAGATTTGGAAAGTGAAGAGAGAAGAAAATGCTTGAAGATTTTGGATAAGTGTAAAAGTAAAAATGGCTAAGTATGGAGCTATTTATAAGCTCGTGGAAGTTTAAGGGACTTCAAATTAACATTAAAGAGCTGATGGTTAGTGGGGCATGTGTTCCACTAGGGTTGATGGAACGTGGGCAGTTAATGCCTAGCGCATAATTCCTAGAGTCTAGGAAACGTGATGATGGCTAGAGATTTTGGCGTGCTTTGATGAGACGTTTCAGAAACTGCTATGGTGATCGTGATGTCATGGGTTTTTTGAAATAGTGATAGACATCAAAGGCATGCAAAAGTCGTTTGAGGCGTCAAATGACATTATCAAAAAATGTCTTTTTCTTTAGTGATGTCGAAAATGACACTTTTGGGGGGAAATTTGTTGGCTCTAAATTTTGACGCCTGAATTGGATTAAAAGGAAGTAATAGAGTTTTTGAAGAAATTAGATGATTTTGACCATAACTATATTTTTTGGAATATGAGTCGAGGGCGCCTCTTAGCAAGGAGGAACTATTTTATGGACTTAGAAATATTTCCTAGCAATTGGAGAATGCGATTCGACAGAGGTGTTACTGAAGGCATTTCGGCAGGAAGATTTGAATTCAAATAAAGGAGGGAATATTTATTCTTATCCATTTCTCAAAGAAGACACGTGGAGCGCTTCCAAGAATCGAAGACATGCAGAGCGCCACTTGTCTCGATCTAGTTCGCTAGCCGTTGATGGCAGTTATTTTCGATTAGTATAAATATAAAGTTTTAGCGTTAGGATTTGGTGTGTTCAATTGTGTACAAATTCCTCAATATACTCCAAGTACTCACGTGTAGAGAAACGAGTTTGTGATAATGTACGTTGGTGTAACACCATTTTTACATTTCAATGCAATTCAATAAGTCTTTTTTATTAAGAATTTATCCTTTCCTTATGCAAGTTACTTTCTACATTTTTTACCAGTCTTTCGACTTTAGTCCTTTGTGTTCAACTCCATTTACGTTTGAAACAAGTTATTTCATTATGAACTTTGTCGAAGTGTTTATTGCTTTTCTAAATTTTGTTTAAGATCAATTAGCACATGTCCTAGGATTTGTATGGTCGATCCTGCAAGTAAAACAAATCTTTTTCGATTTCGAAGACCAACGGTTGTTCACCAATTTTCACGGCGAGCAGGGACTCGCCTTTCAAGTCTAGCCCAGAAAGAAATTACCTTATGTCTGAATTAGATCACTTCATCCATTCTCAGGCCTCATGATTGATGCACTATGGTGTGGAATGATTTTGTTAGGCCTTAAATGGGACAATCCATGACAAAGTATTCAAAACCAAGTACAACAATATAGAGTGGTGCACTCTGAGTCGCCCAAAATGGGCCTAATCGCCTAAACTAGCATCTAATATCTATTTTGCTTAATTCAAGTGTCTTGTGAGGTGTTTAAGTAGCAATGACTTGTAAATATCAATAAAAAGGGAAAAAGTTTCACTTACAAATTAGGGAAAGAATTGGTCTTCCCTTACTCCTACGTGTTGGGTCATCACAAGGAGCATCCACATCGGGTCAAGAGCAACACACAAGTGAGAGAAACACTAAATATTCATCAAAAACTTTAAGGTGATAGGTGTATGAGTCTTTTCATTTATAAAGTGCTCAACCCCCACTTTTCTAAGTAATGTAAGACTTCTAACTCACACTTGTACACAACATCACGTTCCTGATAAGAAAGTGAAATAAATTGTTTCTTCTAGGATCCAGTCTAGGCATCCTTTATATATCACAATCTCAAAATTGGAAAAATGATCATTCCATAATTCCACAAAACAAAAATTCATTGAATCAATCACAATTTTTTTTATGTGAATAGACTTTTTTCATTATTATACTCTTAACAAGTACAAGGAATATTTATTTTAAAGAACCACTTAAATTACAAAAGTAAATAGTAATAATTGTTTTTTATATACATTACTAAACCAAAACAAAATATCAATTAAATTTATATAATTGATCCAAAGTTCAAAGAAATGTTTTTGTATTTTTTTATAAATATTTAACATAAGTTATTTTTTGATACTTATAAATCAATACTTTTAAAAAATAAATAAATATATTTAAATTATAAAATTTTAAATAGATTATAAATAAAATCTCAAAAAATTTAATTACTAAATAATTTATAAAGATGAAATATTTTTAACTTAAATTATACAAAAAAAAGTTACAGTAATATGACGATAAACAATTAATTCAATTTTTAAGCTATTTCTACATGTGTGATTAACAATTTAGATAAAATTATAGTCTTAAATAGAATATTAAGATAGAAAATTAATTTACAAAATTAATTTACGTAGCCGACCTCACTTAAAGTTTAATTGTTATTATTGTACAATGTCCAATTTTTTGAGTCAGGTCTTGTAGCAAACAAGAGTCAACCGGAAGTTAATGGAGTTCTTTCCAATTAAATAATCCATTAAGAAGAGGGTGATCATACTGAAAGAATTAAAAAAACTAGATTGTCTATGCCAATCTAAGTTTGGTGCAAGACAATATCTGATTAAGATGATGAAAGGATATAATTATCCAAAATTTTAGACTATCAAACTTGATTCTTTTATAGTCATTAAAATACCATAAAAATCAGGTCAATTACATTAAATGTTTTTAAATAAGGGGTGAAAATAAGTCGGACCGATAACAGGGGCTTACGACCTAATTTACACATGTTCAGATCAGGCTAAGATTTTTTTTAAATAGAAAAAACTTAGCCTTTTGTATAAAGGCCATTAAAAAAGTATTTTAAATTTATTAGGTCGACCTATTTAAATAAATATGAATAATTTTATTATTATTATTATGTTATGTTTTGTACTTTAAATTAAAATACATAAATAAAAATTGGTTATCTTGAAAATTTATAAAAATAAGATAAAAACACCTTATGAACAATGTTATAAGTTGTTTTCATAAGGTATCTTAAACAAATAATTTCACAAAACTTACGCTAATATGTAAGTTAAAATAAGTAAATGCAAACAAACTTTTAGTTTTATTGATTTTTTAATTTGTTAGTATATTTAAACATTATTTTAATTGCTTATTTATATATGTCTAAAATAACAGATTTTTATGTAGGCTAACAGACTATTCAGGCATTAGAAAATGTCAGACTCAAACTTAAAAATAAGTTTATAATAGACTACAAATCAAATTTAGACTTCAATTTTTTTAACAGGCCAGACTCAAATTTAACAAAGTCTAACTCATTTCAGTTTATTTCCACCCTTACTTTTAATAAACTTTCATGTGTAACTTGTCAAAACTTATAAAAAGAAGAGCAGCCAGAAATATTCATTCCCAATTCACAATTCATTAGATTAATTTTTTCCAATAGAGTTTACATCGATGTACTTTTATAAATATAATTAGTATTAGTCTATTTAGTTTCCAAAACTATTATTATTTATCAATTTAGTTTACTATATATTAAAATTAATTAAAAAATTAAATTATTATATACTTAATTATATATAGTTTAGAAAAAATTAAATAAATGAAGTAATAGTTTAAAATTCTTTTAATTGATTTTAATAATTTAAATACTAAATTACTAAAAAAAGTAATAATTTAAAAAATAAATTGAATTTTCATTAGTAAAATAACATAAAATGAAGTTCAGCACATAATATTTTAGTCCAAACATACCCGAAGCGGCGACTGTTCACCGGAGAATGGAGAAGAAGCGGAAAAGGAAGCAAGCGGCGGAGACCGTCGAGCGAAAGGCAAAGTCTGTTCGGGTGGGTCAAATCCAAACGGAAAATCCGAAGAACCCATTTCCTTCACACAGTGCACCAACCCCACAAGAATGCCTCCACATACGAGACACTCTCTTAACCCTACACGGCATACCTCCAGAACTCGCCAAATACCGCAAATCGCAACCAACCGACGACACCGCGCCACCGGAAACTGTTCTCGACGGTTTGGTCCGAACAATACTCTCACAGAATACCACGGAAACTAATTCTCAGAAAGCTTTTGTTTCTCTGAAATCGTTATTTCCCACATGGGAACATGTAGGTAACAGCTTCGTTAGCGTTATAGTCTTTCTAATTGCATTATCGTTATCATTATAGGTTTTGTGTTATCTGAAACGGTGTCGTTTTGGTTGTTGAAGGTGCATGGTGCTGAGTCTAAGGAGTTGGAGAATGCTATTCGATGTGGTGGTTTGGCACCGACTAAGGCTTCGTGTATTAAGAATTTGTTGCGGTGTTTGTTAGAGAGAAAGGGTAAATTGTGTTTAGAGTATTTAAGAGATTTGTCTGTTGATGAAGTTAAAGCTGAGCTTTCTCTTTTCAAAGGAATTGGTCCCAAAACAGTAATTTTTTCCCCTTATCTCTCTCTTTTTAGCTTATTGGTATGTTCATGAATGCAAATCAAAATAACTTGTGGGCTATGAAGCACAGACAAGACACCGGTAATAATTTGTAAAAATGAATAAGTTGGACGTGATCACAGAAGATGCATATGTTATGGTTTGGTAAAAATGTGACTCTGGGGCATAATGTTGTTTTCCTCCCATTCAATTTTATTTATTTGATCCATTTTTCAATTTGATGACTGCATCAGCACCTTGTTTCTCATTCAGAAGCGACTGTCCTACAAACTTTTTAATTGATCTCCATGTTTGAAGTTTCAGCCTTGTGAAAATTATTTACATATTTTGGGTAATTGATTTTGTTTTTTTATTTTACATTTCATCTTAGTTAAGAGGCTCAACCTTGCCGAGCTGAAGTAGATAGTAAGATTATTTTGCAGGTGCATGCATGTATATTGACCCTGTTTTAGCAGTATGTATATTGTACAGTCTATTAAGTATATAACTCAAGGCTGTTTGGTGTAGATAAGGCACCCTACGTCCCTCCTAGCTCCATGGATTCGCGTGTTTGAGTGATTCTGGTGGATTTTGTTTACACAATAAGCTTAATTTCAATGTTATCTGAAACATGAGGCTATAGGCTTGATGTTCAGGGCACATGCTTGTAAGGTTTCGATTCCTGCAAAGCATAGTGAATTCCCTTCATGAACCTGGCTTTGCCTAGGGAGTAAAATGATCATCTATGCTATAATGTTAGGACATAGTTCTCTTTAATTTTTTTATCAGGAGAATAATTTTCAAACTAGATGATGGAAGGACTTTTCCATTTTGTTTTTGGGATTTAATGGTACCTAGACATCAGAACTCAGAACTTGACTGAAATGTATATACTTCCTTCTCTGGTACAAAGAGACTTGTGACAAGCAATATTAGTGGGATAATTTTGTTGCATCGTTTGTCATGTTAAAATTTGCGATCAATTCAACATAAATGCATAGATATTTCCCTCCTTTTGTGTTGATTTATCTAAACTACGTGATTGATTATAGGTGTCTTGTGTGCTGATGTTCAACCTTCAGCTAGATGATTTTCCCGTGGACACTCACGTATGTAATTGTTCCATTTTTCTTTTACAGCATATAATTCCATTGAGTTATGTCCTAACACTTGAATATTTATGCAGATATTTGAGATTGCAAAAACCATGGGTTGGGTACCAGCTGTTGCAGACAGAAACAAGACATACCTTCATCTAAACCAAAGGATTCCGGATGAACTTAAGTTTGACCTGAATTGCCTTCTGTATACTCATGGAAAGCTCTGCAGTAAATGCTCCAGTAAAAAGGGAAACAAGCAACAGGAGAAATTCAATGATAACTCGTGTCCTTTATTAAATTATTATAAAGAGCCAGTTTGAACTTTTGAATTCTGCTAACAAATTGTTTTCAGTCTTTTGATTCCTAGTTCAATATGGACACTCTGATCTTCTAACTATGTTGAACCCTTGTAATGTAGACTTAGGCAGGATAACAATTTTGAAAATAGTCGGAGGAAAGGCTCACAATTTTGTGATGGTGTGAAAACATGTGCAGGGTTTAGTTTGGATTGTGTGAAAATTGATCGGTTTCTAATTCAATTAGTTGGCCTTTTATGTGACATCTATCTTTGTCTATAGAATGATAAGGATAAAATAGGTCATGAAGAGACGGAATGCAAATTACATCTATTTGCAAATTACATCTATCTTTGTTTATAGAATGATTCCATACCAACATCTACACATATAATAATAAAACATGATGTTGAACAAGACATTGAACAATACTAAACATAAAGCTTCTAACGGTACAATTTAGTGTGTTAGTATCCTGATTATCATTACCACCAAAAACAAGTTTCCTATCAACACAAGACCATTTAAATCCACAAACATGTTAAATTAGAGGATACAAATTGCCAAAAATTTCTCTGCTTACATAAAATTGACGTTATAAAATATTATTTACTAGTTTAGTTCAATGTGTATTTATTTGTCAAATTTTTTTTATATCTACAAATAAAATAGTTCTAGTTATTATCCTTTCAAACATGTTGCCATTAGTCAAAATTGTTTCTTATAGTTATTCTAAATCATCAAATAGATGAAAGGATAAAACAAAATAGAAATAAGCTAATGGCTAGCTAATAAGGTATCTGAACTCTAATTGATTAGGATTGGATTTTAATAACTTCCTATAAAAAACAATAAAACATTACTCCATTGTTCAATTACCGACCGGCCACACAAAACATTACTCCATTGTTCAATTACCGACCGGCCACACAAAACATTACTCCATTGTTCAATTACCGACCGGCCACACAGTTTGTTCAAGTGGCAACCACATGTACAAAAAACAAAAAAACAAACTCACGTGTACTCTCGATATTCATTCTTGTGACGAACATCTACGAAATTGAAACACACACGAGAAACAGATCTTACCTATGCGACCTTTTCCTTTTCAACACCATTTTCAAACCAAGTCCGCAAACAAACCTCTTTCCAAATCCAAAACCACATGATTCCTCCTCGTTACTATTCCGCATGTCTCCTTCTCTTCCTCCTCCTACTCTCCACCTCTCTCTCCCAATCCCATCGCGCTGCCAAGAAAAAACGCATGCGAGAAAAAGTTCGCAATATGTAAGTCAATTCTATCGTCACATTTCACAATCGTATATGAATCATTGATTATTGACGAATTATGATGCAACCTTGTGATTTGTGAATGTGATTATCCATTTATTTTAGGTTTCACCATGCCTATGACAATTATATGACTCATGCGTTTCCGGTTAGTTAATGTTATTCATTATTATTGGTGGTTGATTATTACTAACTTGTTCACAATGCAATGTTAATATTGTTATGTTTTTGCAGCATGATGAGTTAAAACCTCTTACTAAAACTTTCACCGACTCGCTAGTCGAGCTGGGGAATTTGAAGGTAAATATTTAATGATGTATGTTTTAAGGATATAAGAAGAAATTTAGTTGGAGAAGGTAGTGGTAGGAAGTAACTGCTTAATGTTTACTATTGTAGCTTGAACGTTTGCCTCAAGATTATAATGGCTCTGCGCTTTCGCTTATTGAATCGCTCTCTAGGTATTTGATACAGCTGCTAGATGGATTAGTAGTTTGTTTGATTATGTTTTTATTCAATTTGGATTGGAGATTGATACGACTTTTGTGTGTCTTTAGCCTTGTGATTATGGGAAATAATACTGAATTCGAGAAGGGAGTGCGTTGGCTTTCGGAAAATCTAACATTTGACCTTGATGCTCGAATAAATCTTTTTGAGGTGAATATTTGATTTGGTTGAAATTATTGATTCTATAACTTGTTGTAACATGATATCAGACTGCCAATCTTCGGAAAATTATTCATTCTGAGCATTTGATTTCAAAGTGTGATGTTGTGTTTTTTTTTATCACTTGATATCTAATTTGGAAACATTCAGTGTAACATTAGAGTTCTTGGAGGACTTGTGTCTGCTCATTTACTGGCATCTGATTCTTCAAAAAACTTGCTTAAAGGATCTTACAAGAATCAGCTTCTAGGTCTGGCGGAAGATTTAGGGAAACGTTTTCTACCAGCGTTCGATACGCCTACTGGATTACCATATGCATGGATTAACTTAAAGGTACTTTGTAGAACTTTCAAATGTTTGAAATTCTGTTAAATTTATCATCACAGTTGCAACTTATTTTTGTTTAATTGCTTTTGAATGTTTAACAATAGGTAATACTACTCTTCTACTCCTAAACTGTTAAGACTCAAGGTTGTCAAAATCACGATCTAGATCGTAAAATCTTATGATATCGCGATCCCACTTACCTCCACCAATTTTAATCTTAAGTAGAATCGTGTGTTGTAGCCAAATTGTGAAAAATAACCATAAAATCATTGATTATGTGCAATCTTGGTCAGTTCCAGCCACGATCAACCATTTTCCAATCACCACCATTTTAGGCTGAGAAGGATAACAAGATTCCAAAGCACGACAATTACGTTTTGGTGGAGTCCATTTTCACACAAATATACATGCCTACGAAAATATCATGTAAAAAAATTTCAACATAGTATTAGTTTTTTTGTTTTAGTAATATCTTATGATTTTAGTTATGATCGTATGTTTTACGGTCTTGCTACCGCCTCCCGATCTTACAAAAATAATTGGATAGAATCTTTCGATCTTAGTTACGATCTTATGTTCTACGATCTTACTATCCCCTCCTGATCTTATGCAAGATCCCGATTTTGACAACCTTTAGGAGTTCTCATTACATCACTAATATTCAAGAAAAAAAGTTTGTTAAGTAAAAGTTCTATCTTCATACAGCATGCCATTTGAGTTGAAGCTGAGGTGAAAAACAAGAGAGGAGTGATCAGAACTCCTTGCCGTTAAGAGTTATTTTGTAATATTACCATTGTTATTGTTTTGGATTCTTATAATAGTAAGAGTGTTACTGGATTCAGTTTGTACTGGCTGTACAACCCTAATAGTCGACCTAGAATATATTATGTTCTTATATTGGATCTTGTAGTGTATTATTAGATGTTTTTTTTTTGTATGCGAACCATGTTGCTTTAGTTTTTTAGTGACATGAAATGTATTATATATAAATTATAATCTATTGCTTTTTCTTTCTTTTGTTTTCCATCCTTTTAGAATGATATATAACTCCATACCAATGCAAAATATTCTGTGCACAGTATGGAGTAATGGAGAATGAGACTACAGAAACAAGCACTTCAGGGTGTGGTGAGAGGTCAAGTTTAGTGTTTTAAAACTAGCGTATAGTAAAACGATATGTGTGATTGCTTCTAACTTCCAGCTTTGTGCAGGTTCTCTGATTCTTGAAATGGGAGCTTTATCAATAATGACTGGTGACCCTAGATATGAATCCGTAGCTCTACGAGCTCTCCGTAAGCTATGGAGTATGCAGAGCTCGTTAAAATTATTTGGAACCACTCTTGATGTGTCAACTGGGAAATGGATCGAACATTCTGCGGGAATTGGAGCTGGTAGTTAGCTCTGAACTTGCATATTGTTTGTCAAGCTGAGCTTGATGTTTGTTTGATTAATTGATTTATTTTCCGGAATTATTTTAGGGGTAGATTCCTTCTATGAGTATCTACTTAAAGCTCATATTCTTTTCGGAAAGGAGGACTATTGGAGAATGTTTCATTCTGCTTATGTTGCTGTGCAGAAGCATTTCAGACACGGTCCCTGGTATCGCTTTAACTTCAAAAGTTGAAATTGATTGACGAAAATATGATCGACAGTTATAACCAGGTTAATTGATGTCACGCAGGTACCATGAAGCTGATATGAGGACCGGAAGAGCAACTTATTGGCAACTTACAAGTCTTCAAGCATTTTGGCCAGGCCTACAGGCTAGTAGCTGGACTTTGAATTCACCGATTACAAATTTTCTTTAAATATCTTTCCGAGTTTGTCTATAACTTATTGAAACCAGGTTCTTATTGGGGATATACATGCTGCTAATTCATCACACCGCGAGTTCTTCCATGTGTGGAAGCAATTTGGAGTGTTACCAGAGAGGTATTTTCTGATTTAGTTAGTTTCATTGGTCTCATTGTATATCGTTATCATTCTATCAATATGTTTTTGCTATTACAATACTAGATAATATATATTGAATCCTTAATTCATGTTAAGGTATTTACTGGACCATCAGATGCTTCATCCTACTGAAAAATATTATCCATTACGCCCCGAGTTTGCCGAGTCAACATTCTACTTATATCAAGCTACTAAAGGTTTGATAACTCTTCTGTGTTTGTATTTTTAATTTCAATTTGTATTTCACTACATCACTTGTTTACATCAACCTTTTGTTAATTTCAGATCCATGGTATATTGAAGTCGGCGAATTAATAGTCAATTCCCTTAATTTATACACCAGAGTAGAAGGTGGGTTCGCAAGCATCAAGGACGTGACAACTATGCAGTTGGAAGATCATCAACATAGTTTTTTTCTTGCCGAAACGTAATAGGATCTTCTAATCAATAATGGAATTCCTTACTCTGATAGTTACTGAACTTGAAATTTTCTCTGATTACTGATCCTGTGCTTTCTGCAGGTGTAAATATTTGTATCTTCTCTTCGATGATTCATTTATGCTCGAGAGTAATTACGTATTTACAACCGAAGGTCATCCCCTTCCAGTACTAAGCACTTGGCATGAAGAGCTTCCAGAAGCTTATATTCCAACCAATTGGACCAACCTGAAGGTATTTTCTTCAACAAAACTTCACAGTTTACACCTGCACAAAACCAGTGAACTTGAAAAATGCTTATATATTTTCTGCGCAGAGACCAAGACGAGCCAGTGCAATGTCTTTGCAAG